TGGATCTGCATAAGTGTATGTGAATACATTGTAATATGATGAGATAAAACCACATTCCACGAACTTAATGACTCTACCACGTATATATACACACACAAAAAACAAACTGTATTCCGCAAGCGAATTATACCGACCGAGCGACCGCCGCTTGTCGACGAAGTTGGTGTCAATTTTTTGCGGATAGAGGGTGTCGCGTGGTTTGCGCAACGGATCCCCACGGCCGTTAATCTCGGTTTTCTAGACCGGAGCCGCTATATCCGTGATATATCTCCTCAGTTATCCTCACGCGGCTGAGTGGACCCAGTTCCAGACCTACTACTACTCAGAAAATCTGGTAACGCCGGGAATCGAACCCGGGACCTCTGGATATGTAGCCAGGAACTCTGACCACTAGACCACAAAGGCGGTCCATATATATAATTTTTCCCAGTTGCTCCTTAAACTGTTAACGTATCCAGCATTAGTGAAGTTCTCTCTGTCTGTTACGATACCCTATCGCGACTTTCATATTTCTCCTTTCTATATCAATGCATGTTTTTTAAGTGTATCCCTACGATTAAGTAGCCGATCACAGTGGCTGCACGGTTTAAGGCATGAAATGTCTTCTCCCGCTCAAACACGGGGATCGTGGGTTCGAATCCCACTTGAGGCATGGATGTCTGTGAGCGTTGATTCTGTGTTTGTGCTTTCCTGTGTGAAGGTAGCGGCCTTGCGACGGGCTGTTCCCTCGTCCAATGAACCCTACCGACTGTGTAAGAGATGAAGAAACTGAAAAAGCGGCCAAGGTCCAACAGAGGACTCTGGAGACATAGATGCGATTTGTTATTTAATCACTCCAACATAAAGGCGTATGGTGGAATGAAAGTACAGCTCTGCGCATTCTTGACCTCGCACTAGATGGAGATGAGTGCTTAGCTTTACACTTCGGTCATTATGTCCTTCCTCCTGCCCCCGTACACATTGACTAGGAGGCTGGGTGGGCTCTAGAGCCGGTCTGGACACTGCCTCGGTAATCCAGATCTTAGCCTGTCACTGTATCGACTGAGCTACGCCAGCTTCATTCAGTGCTTCTTAACTTATTCTTATCCAGATGTTCTTATCTTTATTCCTTCCAAGCTCAAAAATATCCCGTACACCAAACATTTCCAATTCCTCTTTAATCCTACTCACCCGATTCTTTCCTCTCCCCCTCTCCCCCCCCCTCTCAAAGTGCCTCTCCCAACCAAGCTGTCTCATCTCTTTCCCCAGATCGGAACCAACATTTCATTAGTCTCTCTGATATTTTCTCCTTCCGGTTTGTTCTCCCCAATTCCTTAACACAGGCACCATTTCTCAATGTTGGTGACACTGACATTACTCTTCTACAGAATCACTTCGCACTTTCTCTACTTCCGTCTTCTGTCAGCCCCAGGTTTCAATCCCTCTCATTATCTTTGATTCTAAAGTCCACGGTTAACTTGAAAGAAGACAGCTGTGATGCAATCGATACGTAATACAACAGTGTACATAGTCCAGTGCCGGGTCAGAGTTGACACTTTCGAGACGAGAAGATAAAACTCTAGTGTCAAGCTTATGGTGACGAAAGGTGGCATGAACATGGAAACTTGGTGTACAGGATTAGCAGTTCTTATATAGAAAGTAACATAACCATGGACCGTTCAGTATACGAGAGGAGGCGGAAATATTTGAATTAATCAGGAAGACAAGAAGTGTATGAAGAAGTGAAAGAAATTTTGGCCACGATAAATTTTCTCAATATTTTCCGATTTTTTTCTTTTTTTTTCCAATGGCTCTATCAGCCCATTCAGGGCCCGGATGCCTTCATGGCATAGTGCTTAATTAAGCACTAATTAAGCTGTATAGAAGACAGCTAACAACTACGCAACCACAAACTACCCTTCACCTACAACACAAAAGATTTCTTCATCAATAACTACAAATATGACTAGAAGTTTCCATATACTAGAGACATGCTGATCCCCTCAATAAATCTGCCTAAAACCAATAAGAATATAACAAGTAAAAAGTCATCCATAAACAACCCAATTTTTTTTTCTGTGGCGCTACAGCCCCAATTTTGGCCTAGGCCTACCTCCATGAAACTCTCCCTTTCACTTCGGTTTTTTTAGATCTTACACATACGGTAGGACTCCTTGGGCGAGTGATCAGCTCGTCGCAAGGCCTCTACCTGTAGACAAACACAGAAAAACGCACACAAACATCCATGCCCTGAGTGGGATTCAAACCCACGATCCCGGCTTCCGAGCGAGCGAAAACAGTGCATGCCTTAGACCGCTCGGCTACCGTGACCGGCAAACAACCCAATTACCTAACCACATTATATCTACCATTAAACAAGCAATCTACATCACAAAGCATATGTATATGCCCATTAAATCACACATAACCGAACCCTGGTCGTTAACCGCACTTTAATTATTTTAGCATTTGCCGTCACCGAATCATACAAAACCATGCGCTTAGCATATCTGACCCAATTACAGTTTACGAGATTTTAACATTGAAATTCAATGATCATGTAATTTATCTATGAATTACTTGATGATCTATACGATCGTAACATGTAATGATAAAAAAAACACATTAAAAATTAATATTTATCTTCTACTGTTTATTTAATTTTATTAATTTCATTAACAAATCTCTATGCAGGGTGCCACCTTATGCCTTGATTCTGTAACACAACAGGATTCAATAATCATTAGACCAGTCTTCTGCTATGGCTGCGAATCCTAGGTCTATACACACACATCTGAAATCCAAAAATTCCAGATAGTTTAAAATAGACGCTTAAGGATGGCTGGAAAATATCCCAGAACAACAGATATTAGTTTCCTGCATGCAGATTTCTTAAATATTTAAATTGGGTAGATGTCTCCAACTTCTAAGCATAAATACTTGTATGTATGGAAAGCGAACGTCCGCACCGAGATCATAAGGCAGCTAATGGTCCTAGTAATGTGTGTGTAAGAAACCATGAGATATACTTTTGCATTGAGATGAGAGATAGAGTACCCAAGAAGAGGAGAAAGAGGAGAAAAGACATAAAAAATAAACGAATAATGAAAAAGAGGCAAAAATAAATTCAGGAATTTAAAAGAGAACAGGCTTTACAATCATAGGTCTCTTAACGTACGTGATGTGATGTGACCTGTGGTCCGGTGGTCAGAGTTCCTGGCTACAGATCCAGAGGTCCGAGTTTGATTCCCTGCGCTACCAGATTTTCTGCTTCGAAGTTGATGATCACATTCAACTCAATTGAACTGACTCATCCCTCAGGCTGACTCAACTCGCGAATTCCGCACTATCTTATATAGGCGTTGTCATTCTATAGGCCTCTGGTGGCAGCGCGGGCTGTCCGATTCGAAAAAGTGCAGAAGCCGCCAGTGGCAAGCTAGTGAAGTCATGGAGCATCGAGAGGGAAGCGCTTGCTACTGGCATGTTACCTGCCACCTTCCCGCACCCAGTCCACAGGACACTACTCCCTCCTCAAAGCGGCTCGTCACGAGTGGCCCCTGTCCAGGTTTCCAGCTATAATCTTCGCCCTGGGATGACGCTGATCCTGAATATTAATCACGTCTTCTGTCTGAAAAATAACAGTGGAAGCTAATATATATTGTACCCAGTATTGTTGTCTCGTGGCAGTTGTAACAATTCCAACTAGACTATAGACAACTCTTGCTGTTTCTCTTCGTGCTTCAGAGATTTAAAGAACTGTAGTCCGAGGATCATGAATGAGCGTAGTCTCCATTGGTGAGCCCTAGTGATATTATGTGTGACAAAAACGCTTCCTTATTAAAACAAATATGAGTGTTCGAAGGGTTCATGGCCAAGCGGTGATAAACAATAATGTAACTCGAAGAACTAGTAAGACGTAATACTTTCGTACAGACTCAGTGCGGGAGGGGTGGAGGCCGATCACCTTTTAGCATTCACTCGCGCCGCTGTTTTCGAGAAACACCGCGGCCTCTCCCATCCTGTATGATTCTGGAATCTGAGGATACCGAGTTTTGCCGATTTCCTGCGCGAAGGTCCGGGAATGTATACAGGACGCAATAAAAATGTGTGGAATTAGCGAGTTCAGTCACTCTGCTGTTAGTAACGGCGTGTAGCGTTCGTATGTAATAATAAAATAGTGCGGCAAAAAGCCATAAGAGAGTACCGGGCCGGCAGCGACAAGACGAGAGCAAGAAGACAGTACATGGTGATCAGTTGCGTAGTAGTGAACTAAAACCAACTGACGTCAGTACCTTGAGTGACAAGCTGAAATATTACTCCAAAACAAGACAAACGTTAAAATACTTCTACAAGAAAATGATAAAGTATATAAGTAAGAGGTTTGTGTGACATACAGAAGTCTGTTCAACATTTTTAATTTGTTTTATTATATTTCAGCATCCTGTTACATTGGAGCACCATTTTTAATTTGTAACGTATTCCGTCTGTAATGCAACAAAGTCAATCCTTTCTTAAAAGACACCAAAATATATTTAATTCACTAAAAAGTGCTTGTTAAATATTTTAAAATGCACTTGATATATACATTCGTTGTTCTTGCTGCTACATGTTTCGGATGCACATGGGTTATCATCAGGCAACACTTTTTATTTTGGGAGATCACTGAACTGTACACTTCGTCTTTGTACTCTCAGCCACGTTGTTGTTTTTTTTTTTTTATTTTCTTTTAATGATATTTGCAATCTTTCAGCGGCTGTTTCATATAACATTGAAACATACACAATTGAAGTGAACGATACTAAAGGGGAACACCGAAATGGTGGAGGTGTAAGGCTGACAACCTTACTGCCATCTGTGAGCCGACTGTAGGGAAAATGTGGGAGCCTCAACGTCTCACAACCCTATGGGTCTCCACGGCCTGTTACAGGGATAGTTTTACCTTCTCTTACCTTTTTTATTATTACTATATTAATGATTGTTTTATTTATAACTATCAAAAAAGTTGACTGTGTTTGTTGCAGAGTGTACTGCAGCAAGCAACAAGTTTTGCCCAAGATGGTGACTTGTTGGCAAGTCTGCAGGATCAGCATGGAATGGCTGGTCAAATGCACCAACAGTTGGTCAGTGCATCCAGCACAAACAAAAAACAGGGTGTGTCAGGTGAAAGTTCTGATGCTGGACAGACTGCTGAGGACATCCAGATTGTGAGATTTGACAAGGACTTCCGGTATGCCTCTGACTCCTACAGATTCTAGTGTAAAAAGTTGATAGTTATTCAATTAGTCAAGAAATACCCTTTTGTTATGAACTGTTGGTTCAAGAGTCTGCCTTACATTTTTCCTTGTCAAATCCGTTCCAGTTGACAGGCTTACAATTATTTTTCTCTCGGCCCTTTCAACACTACTTTTCCTTCCCAGAGTAATGACAGTTCTAAATGTTCATCAAATCATGAAAAAGTTGAAATAGTTCTGTTCAGTGTGACTGGTTATGATTTTCTTATTTCAATTATTCATGCCCTTACATGTTTTGGTCTTCAGAGACCATCTTCAGAGGGACACCTTTTACATCAATACAGTTAGAAGCCACTATTACAGTACATGTTCTAAAAGTTAAAATATATACATACAATATAAACCATATACAATTGGCTGTAAGATCTAAAGTCTTCACATCTACAACACAGTGGGCCACAAACACATACAGGACAACATTAAAGAAGCCGCTTCTCAAGAACGACAAGGTTGCACACCTTCAGCCCCCGTCAAAAGAAATAATAAGAGGGACGACATGAACCAGCTTGTAGTTACTATAGGATTCTGACGATGGTGTATAACACACTGATATATTGGGTTTTTGGACTTTATCCATCGTCCTGGTTTTTAAGATAACAAATAAAAACACGACGTTTCAGAAACTGGATCTGTTTCCGTCCTCAGGTGAAGGAAAACACCTATTCTGTTGGGTCCGTTAGAAAGCGCTAGCCTCAATCACTGGACAAACCAGGACGATGGATAAAGTCCAAAAACCCAATATATCAATGAACCAGCTTGGTTTATGAATTCCAATAGAATCTTGACAAACTAACTATAAATATTTGAAAGTATTGGAACAGCCGCTGTTGTTATCTTAGCCAATGCAGTATAACATCAATTAGTCCTATAAGAGCCCAAAATATAAAAAATAACCAACATTTCTTGGGGTTATGTTTACTAGAAACTGTAACCACTCCATTATGCATTTGGTCCAGTTCACTCCTCTACTTGTTAGAGTACAACTCTTTCTAACTAAAACTAGTTATCACATACACAAATGTCCAATAAATGAAGATTTCGTTGGACGTGTAATGTACTTTTTAGTTGGTTATTTGACTTTGCTTTCAGTATTGAGACTATATAATGTTTGGTGGTAGGATGAATGAGAAATTAGAAAGGATTTGGAAGGAAGCAGCCATGGCCTAATCAAGATACTATCCTGGCATTTGCCTGGAGGGACTGAGTAAAACCATGAAGAACCTCAGTTAGGATAGCCGGCGTCCAACAGATTTAAACCGAGCACCTCCCAAATACAAGTCTAGATGGTTATCTCTAGACCCACATGTTCAGTTACGTATAGTATCAACGTATTTAATATTGTCAATTTTATTATCGTTCTTATTCTTGAGTAAATATGGTACATAATTTATGCATAAATGAAACATTATTACAAGAAAATTGAGGTGTTAGGTATTACAGGTTGGATAACCCTTGATAACTATATCTTGTCATTGTTTTATATTTGTGCCCACACCCTATATTTTCTGTTGTTTTATACTGATATTATATTTTTCAGATCAAAGCAATTAATAAAAGATGCCATTATGGATAATGATTTCTTGAAGAATCTCGACTCCAGCCAAGTACGGGAACTGGTGGATTCTATGTATCCATTAGAGTATGAAAAAGGCAGCTATGTAATCCGGGAAGGGGAGGCAGGTATGATGTTGGATATCTTAATACCTTCTCTTTTCTTCAGACTTCCTCTTTTTTCTCCAAAACCCTCTTCAGAGATTATATCACTGAATTATCAAGCAAATCTCATTTTGACTGTAATCTTGTTACCATTAACCCTACATTAGATTAAGCTAAACGCAAACTTTATCAAACATCTCAAAAGTTTATCATATAGAAAATGGTTTATGGTATGAAATAAAAACATCATTAAGATGTGACCTTTATTTAAACTTATTTTATATTCTGTATACTTAAGCACATATTGTCAAGTTGAAAAATATAAATTGCCAGGTAGTGGTCAGATTCCTGCAGAAATTACGTGTATTCAAGCAGGAGATTAAATATTATGGTCTGAGATCCATAAGCTCATTAATTCTATTTGGAATAAGGAAGAATTGCATGAATAGCGGAAGAAGTATATTATTGCACCACTTCATAAGAAGGGCAATAAAACTGACTACCAATTATAGTGAGATATCACCATTATCAACCTCATAGATATACTTGCCTCACAATTAACTCCATATATAGATGAAATTATTGGGGATCATCAGTGGGTTTCAACATAACAGATCAGCTACTGATCAGATCTTTTGCATTCATCAGATATTGGAGAAAAAAAATTGCAACACAATATTACAATACATCAAGAAAGCCTGTGATTCAGTTAGGAGGGAGTACTCGTGAAACTAGTTAGACTGATTAATATGTGTTTCTATCAAACATATAGTGATGTCTGTATAGATAAATATTTGTCTGATAATTTTCCTATCCTGAATGGTCTAGGACAGGCATGTCCAATGCGTTGATCGTGATCGACCAGTCGATCGCGGGACGATTTTTGATTGATCTCATAGGCCTATAAGGGAATTATATGTGAAAAGCATGTAATTTCACTTGTAATATAATATGATTATATTCAGATTAGTCATTCCTAGTTTTCTGTTCTTATGTAGCTTACATGAAAATTGCTATACACTTGTGTTAAGTGAACTGTGGGGAAGTCCGAACTCTATCCTCATCACATGAACTCTTATTTCATCACTTGTCATCAGCCGCGTGTGTTCTGATGCAAGAGTGATCGACAAAACATGTGATTTGCTTCATTCCCTCCCTCCAGTCAATTGTGAATCCCCGAATGTTGAACTAACAAGTGAGGTGTATTATTATATTAGCTGTTAGTGGAGATTTGTCGCTTTGCTGTGCATTAAACAAGTTTGGGGATTAGCTCAGTGTATTCAAAGGGACAGTAAGTGTATCTAAAATGTTTCATCCAAGAATCCACTGTATCTCCTAAGAAAACTCCCATGCAATAACTAAAGTGAAGACATGCTGTTTTCACTTTATGTTGGGTTTCTGTAAGAGTTTTCCTGATGGAACTGAAAGATTCTTTTAATGAGTGCACCCCATTCCCCATGCATGCAGGATAACTGGGAATTTACTGTACAGGGATGAATATCATGCAGTGCAATATTATTGTGATAGCTCCCTTGGTTGTTTATATTTGTCTGCAATAAATGAACATCAAGATCAATAAATTGTGCAGAATCAGAGTGAAGTATACATGTTCAGTTTAAAGTACAGCTTTCCATCCTTGTCCTGAATAATGTTAGAGGGACTTAGACATCAATATCTCACACTGATATCCAATATGAAGGATATTCAACATCTCCATGGTAAAATGAATGTTCTTGTTATGATAGTATATTGATCTCTTCACAGAATGTTGAATATTGACATTTACTCACTCTCCCATTCATATGACAAGGCACTATCACGAATGGTAGTTCATCACTTAGGAGGTTTTTTGTTAAATTGAACTTGTCATGTCTCATGCCAACTCAGCTGCTGGATAGTTCTGAGTACAAAGTTGTTTCATCTGCCCTGTTATGTCTTCTAAATAAATAATGTAAAAATAATTCAGGATAAATTATTTTATGCAGTAGCATATCTTTAGCATAATTTTGGGGAGTGGTCTAAAATAGATTAACACAAGTTTTGTATCATTATAAATTAACTATTCTGTTATCACATTTCAAAATCTTTCTTTTGTAACAATCTCTGTCAGAGAAGCTATTTTCTCTTTTCATCACGTTTCTCACATGGATTTCAACTTATCTAACAAATATAAAATACAATTTAAGGTAATTAAACCATTAAGATTTTGTCATTCATATTCTTATAAGAAACTGCTGATTTACTTGTGCAATTTGAAGACTTTTAACACAGAATTGTTTGCATTATCTGTTTGCAGGTTCTCATTTATATGTTTCTGCTGAGGGAGAGTTTGAGGTCATAAAGGAAGGGAAGGTGCTGGGCAAGATGGGACCAGGCAAGGCATTTGGCGAACTTGCCATTCTGTACAACTGCACCCGTACTGCTTCCATCAGAGGTGACGTATCACCAGCCAGTCATCATGTGATCAGATTTGTGATGTAGCTAAAATATCAGATACATCAGTCTCATGAATATTTGATAAATGAGAACAATACTAATGCCTTGCAATGTAGGACATATAATTACAGGCATTTATGATTGTTAGATCACAAATTATGCAACCACAGTCTTTTAGTTTTTGTTTATATAGAAAAGTAAAATATGACATTAGAATAAAATGAGTTTTTATTCAATAGCAATAATGGATATACAAGTATTATGGTTAATAGGTATATATGTGTTAGCAGATCTTAATAAGGTCTGACATTTAAATAACCAGACTGATTTTGTAAATGCAACCACAACATATTAGCATTACATTTTATTGAATGTGGTCATCTTCATATTTTCTGACTGTATATGCATATTTCAGTGTCTGCTACATACCTGTGAATACTGCTAATAATAATTTCTTAAAGTCCTTTCAGTTCTGCTGTCACATTGCTTTGAATATCTTCAAGCTATTCAAAATGATACCTTTTCACAGTGGTTTCTAATTCTGGGAACATGAAAAACTTAGGTATGGTAAAACCAGATGAGTAGACAATGTGTTCAAAAAATCAGTAGTGGAAGTTCTGTGTGAGAAGGAAAATTATTATGATCTAATATCCACTTGTCTCATCAAAGGTTTGGTCTTTTTCATTAATGTACTGCTATGAATATTTTCTAAATTATGAAAAAAATGCTTTGTTGACAAATTTGGAGAGGTACATTTGTAATGGATCACTCTTTGACATATATATAAAAAGCAGACCAGCATAACTCTGATCTTCAGTTCTGATTAGATTCTGAAGGGTTCTGACATTGATGTATATCACTCAGGATTACTGGATTTTTGGACTTTGTTCATTGTCCAGTATTCTAAAGAGCGTAACATTTTTGAAACTGGATCTGTTTCCATCCTCCGATGATGGGGCGGGAGATGTCTACTCTATTGGCTCTGTTAGAAAGAGCTAACCTCAGTCACTGGTCCAGTGATCAGGGTTAATGCTTTTTAACAAACCCAGCAGAGCAGGTATCTCCCACCTCCTATCTGGACCAGTGATTCTTTGTAATTGGCCCAACAGAGTAGGTGTCTCCCAACCCCTCACCTGAGAATGGAAGCAGATTCAGTTTCTGATTCAATTTTGACATTAGCACTTTCATCAGTCTCTGAAACGTGGACTTGCTTTTAGAGAGTTCAGCAATTTCTTTTGGGTTATACTTTAATATCAGGTTCTCATCATCAGGTTTTTCCCCCCAAAAGGTCAGTTCTCCACCAGTTTTGTTGAAAGGATCCCCCCCCAACAAAAATGTGATCTTTTGGTACTACTTTAGCACAATTTTTCTCTTACTGTTCAGTTCTTCTGCTGCCTTCTCAATAGCCATTCAGTGGTCACTTGTCACCATTTTCACATTTAGATCGGTTCTTGAAGCTGTTAGATGACTGTATCTTTTATTTGCTTCAAGGTCCTTCCATCTTGAAATTATTTAACCCGCAGAGAAATTTATAATCTAGCCATTGTTCATTCTTCATTATGTAACAGACCTTTTTTCTCTAAGATCGCTGAAAATTTGATGTTGATTCTCTGTTCTGACAATTTCCAATGTAATACTGCCCCAATAAGACATTCACTTTAGCCTTGAAGAAAACGAAATCCACATACAAAACTACAGAATTGTACAGTCAGGTGACCCACCATGTGCCAGCTCACTATTATTATTGACAGTTCCAGGAGAAATAAAAGTACAGTTTTTTTTGTCAGGTTTCATAATCCTTCATATGGTTCCATATATCAGTTCATTTTGTGCATCAAGAAAATACTGTATGATGGCAGTGCAAATTTGTGATATTATACAGAATGATCTGTGGGATGTTGATGTTCTAAGATACAATCATGTAAAACTATAACAGTTGTACATACTATTCTCAAATGTACAGAATTGCTGGGAAGCCATCTCAAGATATATATATATGTTGTTCACAAGTTTTCAGGCCCTGAAAAGGGTCGTTTGTTCTGCCGTGCTTGTGCTAGTAGTAGCATGGGCCTTCCTTTACGGTCGCTGAGTGGTTACGAGCGGGCAGGATAGTGGCAAGCCTAGTCAGACAGTCTGGGCCTTCTTTATGGCCACTTGGCGGTTATGAGTCGGCATGAGAGCGGAGTCTAGCGGGCCTGGCGCTGTAGTGCATGCGCTGGTGTAGTCCACTGTCTCAGTGTTGTTTGCTGGAGAGCTGCTGCTTCATGAGGTCAGCGTAGCTACGTTAGTTGTCTTCGGCGGGGTGAAGATGATTGAAGAACTGATGATAGCGAGTTTTTACCTCCACCTTTTATACCATGCTTGCTGGGCAGAGCTAGAGGTGAAGTTACGATTGTGAGCACTGATTGGCCAGCGCCCGCTATCATCTCCAGGGAGGCCGGACAGTGAGTGCTGTATAAATACGTTTGTCACAATGTGACATTGACTTGGCTTGAGCAGAAGTTGAATGTTGTCTGTTAGGCTGGCGAAGCTGTGTGTTAGACCATTTTGGTTGTTATCAAATGAAATATCTTGAAACAGCAACTGTTGCATTTTAAAAATTAGTATTTTTTTTACAAAGATTTGATTTTGTGGTTAGGCTCAATCAAGTTAAACATGCCTCCCTCTCACCCACGCAATGAAGGTACTAAGCAATATGCCAGCTGAAGTACCAGGACTCATATGGCTGTCAGCACAGTGCAAGCCATAAAACAGTAGGTCATGTCTGTTTCTCTTCAACAGTGGTGTCAGACTCAAAGGTGTGGGTGCTGGACCGCAGGGTTTTCCAGCAGATTATGATGCGCACAGGACTGCAGCGGCTGGAGGACAATGTCAATTTCCTCAGCAGTGTCCCTCTGTTACATAACCTCAGTAATGATGTGTTGGCCAAGATTGCTGATGTACTAGAAGTGGTAAGTCTCTGCTATATTTTCATAGGCATGCATTGCAGTTTCAAAATGATACACCAGTGTGTTATCCAGATAATCCTTGGTTCAGTCTTGATATGCATCTGGATATGAATTTATCTATATGTTCGTATAGTTTGAAAAGCCTTAACCTCTCCCAAAACTTAGACTCTAAGAATGTAAGAAATAAATGTTAGATTTAAAACCCATATTAAGGTACAGATTTCCTCTTGTTAGCCATCATTATTGCAGGTGTATCATTGAAAGAAGCAAAATTTTTGACTTCAGAACTTGATTCCTCCTATCTCATTTGGTGAGAAGAAGCAAGAAAGAATAGTGAGACCATGACCAGTGATATTTACTGAACAAAAACACATCTCTTATCCCATAATCTGATTTTCTTTAAGACAGAAATTTCTCTTCCTTTCAAATAAATGAGTACATAGTAAGAGGACTCATGCCACCAACTAGATGTTGTGGGCCATATTGGGAATCATGAACTCAATCGGATTACACACAACTGTGCCAAATACTGTACAACACAGGATGTGAAGTAAGGAATAATATTGATACTTTCCAGTATAAATGCATGTTCACTGCATGCACACCTTTAGTGTCCCCACAATCCACTGTGATAAAATGGCTGTCAACAACATATTGTTTCACCAGCATGCAGTGATTAAATTCATTGCAAAGGAGAACAGTTGCTGCACATATCTATGGTGAACTTCATCACATGCATGGAGGTCCCTGCATGGGTGCCAGCAGTGTCATGATGGCTGACTTGAGAATCACTGTATCTTGATGCAATGAGCAGAACACTGGCATGCATATCAAAAGGGAAAAAAGAGACAGGAGAATCACAGTGCAGCTTGGATCATGCCATACAGATGATAACGACTTGTGATAAAATAAAGAATGTTCCCATCAGCTTCCTGCTTATATACAGACAATGCATAGATTATTCTGGTGATTCTGGAGAAAAATGGTAGGACATCTCCAGCTACTGTTTACAATATCTGTATATGTATATTTGTTTTACTGTATAATAGATGCACACCTTACTTTTTATATGACTTAATACTGGAAGTCCCTGATTAAGGCATGTCCTCCATTTTGTGAAAGCAAAAGGCTGAGAATTATTATCAACACTGAGTTTTTTACCTCTGCTTTCATATATATTTCTTACATGTAACATATGGATAATACTGACTGAAAGTTCCTGAAACAGAATACTTAAATACATCATATAGCCTTAGAAAGAGGATTAAGAAATATTTTATGTCATGTCGGAACGTTATGTTGGTGCATCATTATTTTGAGCTTACTGAAAACTGTGCATTAGACATACATTATTTGTGCTTTTAAATCATAAAAGATATGATTTCTGAGAAGAATTTACTCATAATAACATTTCTTCCTGTCCAGTTTCCATTATGAGTACAAGCATTTGTGCTGAATTTGAGTGTGATGGTGGAGGTCAGGCCATCAGCAGACGAAAGTGATGAGAAAATTGAGAATTATAATGTTCTGTACTTGCAGTAGTGGTAACTATGCTTGCTATGCCCAGTCATTGCTGTGACTCTGTTCTGGTTTATGTCATTGTGTTTATGTCTCTGGCAGGAATTTTATCCTGCTGGTGCTCACATAATACGTCAGGGAGCCAATGGTGACACCTTCTTCATTATCAGCAGTGGTAGTGTTAAGGTAACCCAACGAATCCCAGGTCGTAGGGAAGAAGAGGAAATCAGGATACTTGAACGAGGGGACTACTTTGGAGAACAAGCCCTACTTAAAGAAGACTGTCGCACTGCCAGTATCATTGCTCTTCCACCTGGTGTTGAGTGCCTTACTCTTGACCGAGAGTCCTTCATACAGCTAATTGGGGATCTCAGTGAGCTCCACGAGAAGGACTATGGAGATGAGAGCAGAGGCCTCTCAAGGCCATCCAGTTCATTCAGCATCTACTCTGACAGTGAACAAGGTCAGTGGAAGTTTCAGGCATAGACAGGAGAATAATGTTAAAGGGACCTTCGAGAGAGGGGGGGGGGGAGAGATGTTGGGTAGGTCACACGACAAATAACTTCATGCCGTCTTGGATCTAGCAAATTTATTGAACACTCACTCTCACAATTACACAATTTACAGTACGACAACTACTGCCATTGGCAGTAACACAATTCCCCTCTTGTTATGTAGCTTCCACACTGACAACACAGAAAACAGTTACGCGATAGCTACCACTGTTTGCGTAACATCGTGTTTACAGGCATTGCTGGGGGAAAGCTGCCGAGAGTTGTTTATTACTGCGTAGTAACCGCAGTGTCCCCTGTTATGTCATAATAGGAAGTGCTGTTACGTCACCGTGGGGGAGGGGGACGGAGTGTTGACTGGCCTGTTACTGTATCAGCGGCAGTTGCTCCGATGCTGTTATGTCACCGCTGGAGGAGGGGTGTTTACTGAGTGTTGCGCTGTCCACATCACAGTATTAATTTTTAAGGCTCCAAGACAATAATACAATTCTTGAACAGCTGACTATCATCTGCTCAAGAGAATCTCTCTATCTCTGAATTAGTTAGTTTTGGTGTAGTTACGTCAGCTGGTCAGCAGACCAGATACTCTGCATGACTCAGGATCTTGATGAATATTTTCCTGTTTAAATAACAACGTGACATGCTGTCTGGTGAACAGACTGTCCTAATACACTTGTGTTTCTATCTGCTTAGAGTACGATTATATCCATTTGGAAGATCTGGATGTGATAGCAACCCTGGGTGTTGGAGGGTTCGGCAGGGTGGAGCTGGTACAGTACATGTATGATAAGACAAAAACATTTGCACTCAAGTGCCTCAAGAAGCAGCATATTGTTGATACGCAGCAGCAAGAACATGTGTACAGCGAGAAGAGCATCATGTTGAGCTGCCGCAGCCCCTTCATCTGCAGGTGTCTACCTCTTATGTCATATCAATCTGAGTGTCAGTCATACCAATATTGCTCATTCAGATCCATCCTACTTTGGGTTCACATGACATTTTACTAATATATTTGTCTGTCTGTCTACAGAGAGGCCATTTAATGTCACTATCAGTTTATGCACCATGAAATGACAGCCAATGACTGTGCTGAGTTATTTAATGTCACTGTATCAACTGAAGTGGTTTTTATCTAGTTTATGATGGAGAATTTGAATTTGAAATTATTTACATTCTGTAAATCCAAATACAGGTTGACACCATAATACATGGAACAAGTCAAGTACAGATACATAATGCTTGAAAAGTTAACAAGATTATAATACAGTATTAATATTACCATGCAAATTGGATACATACAGCACAGTCTGCAGATAAGCAAAATGACACAGCAACATACTTGGGAATACACTTAGTTTAGAATTGATACTAGTTACTGTTGATTTACATTGCAATTTTTTTCTACGGACTAGAAGGAGTGAGTAAGTAATGTTTCGACGTTATTTTAAGTTTCATAATATTACTAGCTGCTTTTTTGAGACTTTGAGGGAGGCTCCTGAGTGCTTTGATGCTGAAGGGGTGAACTCCTTTTGATATAGAGATATATTTGCTGAATATTGGTGGAAGTTGTGTTTTTGCCTTGTATTTATGTTATGGATGTCAGAATTTAAATTGTACATTGCTTTTGTTGTCTACCACAAACAATAGGAATGAGAGAGTGTACTGTGAGCAAAATGGTAATATCTTCAATTTTTTAAATAAATCTCTGCAAGAATCTCTAGTCTTTCTTCCTGTGATAATTCTAGTTCCTTCTTTTGCATTTTGAAGATTTTAGTGTTAGCTGTAGAGTTCCCCCAGAATATTATTCCATATGACATAGCGGAATGAAAGTGGGCATAGTAAACCATTTTCATTACTTCTTGAGACACATAGGTTTTAATAGATCTGAGTACAAAACAAGCTGCACTTAGCATCTGTAGTACCTGCTCAGTATGTAATTTCCAAGACAGTGTACTGTCTATAAGTAATCCAAGGAATTTTGCGTTATGTGCTTTTTTTTTCAAAATTTAATGAAAGACTGTTGGCTCTGAACCATTTATTTAAGTAGTCGAACATGGTCATTATGTTACTTATAAAATCTGTTGGGTTAGAGTTGGTAACTATCATACTAGTATCATCTGCAAACAGAACTAGTTTAAATTTATTCTTAACACAGTTTGGTAAGTCATTTATATAGTGAAGAAAGAGCAAAGGACCTAGTATGGATCCTTGTGGAATGCAATGCCTTATTTTACCCCATTTTTAAGCAATCTGATGATAAGTCCGTGTTTTTTTTATTTCCACCATTTGGTAACTATTCACAAGTTATGATTTAATCCAGTTATTGGCCTTGCCAGTTACTCCATACCAATTTAATTTGAGCAGCAAAGTGTCATGATTAATGCAGTTGAACGCATTAGCTAGATCACAGAAGAACCCACCTACTAGTAATTTTTTATCGAGGGCACTTATGATTTCATTAATTAGTTCATAGGTTGATTTTTTTGTTGTTAGATTTTTCCTACAACCAAATTGTTATTTTCCTAGTATGTTGTTATTAATTACATGTTCAAGTAGTCTGTTATATACTACTTTTTCAAGGATTTTTGAGAAAGAGTTCAGTATGGATACTGGTCTGTAGTTGGAAACATTTGTTCTATCACCTCTTAAATAGCAGTTTTACTATAGAGTACTTCAGGCTTTGAGGATAGGCCCCTGATAAGAGGGATATATTACATACGTATATGATTTAGAGGTGAGATAATATAGCAAGTGCTGATTTTAAGTAATTTAGTGGATATTTTATCATATCCAGTAATCATGATCAGTAATTGCTGCAAACTGAAGAATATGAAGTAGTCACGGCCTATTCAAAGACACTCTTACACATTCAGCACTTCAGTTCTAACTAATTTTTTTTTATGCTAGTGGGGTGGGACTAAGTCCCTTATACTGCGACCACTTCTGGCCTATTGTACCAGCCCCAGATTATAGGTGAGGGTGATTGTGGAGCAATTGGTGGAATGAAGATTGGCAGGGGAAACCGAAGTATTCAGAGAAAACCTACCCCAGCGCCACTTTGTCCACCACAAATCCCACTTGACCAGATCCTGGGATTGAACCCAGGCTGCCGCGGTGGGAAACCAGCGACTAACCGCTTTAGCTATGGCGTGATCTCAGTTCTAACTAACCAACCAACCAACCAACCAATTCATGGAGCAGGATCCTTCTCGAAAAGCTAACAGTCATACAGGTGGTCAAGAAATTTCTGCCTTCCGAGGAATCCAAAGGTTCATTATTGTACTCACAAGAGCCCATCATTGGTATCCGTATGACTTGCCTCAAGAACATGGACCATATTTATCAATATATCTGTAATGTATTAATCAGAAAACATGAACTTTACAGAGCCTAGTGAACTGCAAATTTATCTCAAAGGAAATTGTTCCATACAAGTTCTGTCTAAATGTTAAACCCTGGTCTTAAATAAATATAACAATTCCATTATTAATAATAGTAAGGTTATTCTATATAAGATGAACAGCTGTTGGGTGGTAATAATACTCTATATTTCTATATGTATAATCCTCCTCCGTAAATGTAACACTTTACGATATTGTAGTTCCTGTCCCCCTTCTTTTACACTACATGTTTTTTTGCCACATCAGGTGTATTTCACATCACATAGCTGTCACACTGCACTCAATATTAACATTTAAACTCCAGATTTACAATTGTTCATTGCTCTGTCGTCAATCATATGAAAAATCACGAAATTTTTCAAAGACACGCATATAAAAGTAGCATTTCACACATGGAACACAACTGAAAATATACTTAAACATAAACCACAATTAGATAAATATAATAAAAGTGGTATATACCAAATGAAATGTGTAGGTTGCCCATTAAAATATATTGGACAGATGGGCCGAACATTTAACACCAGATATAAGGAGCATATGCACGATATTAGAAATAATAATAGCAATTCTGGATACTCAAATCACATACTAAACATGGGACATACATACAGAACAATAACAGACGTAACGGAAGTTATAACAACGGGGAGGAAAGGTAGACATTTGAATACACTAGAAAAACTACCATATATATAAGCTAAGTAAGAAGGGCCTGCACATGAATGACACATACATAGATACACACAATCCCATATTTCAAACAATACACGAGATCTATACCAACTAACGGTACACCCCACTCCCCCCACCACCCATTCCCCTTCCACACTCAACAACATAAAAACACAGCACACAACAAACCAGACAACAAACGTATTAAAGAAACGCAGTGGTACGCACACAGAGAACCTGCACAAAGTAAGTACACATAACAGTATAAAATACTGCATACAGGAATAATGTAAGAACATAAAACAATAACACGAATATTTGTGTATTACAGATAACATGCAAGTTGTGCTGAAAGCACGAGGTAGCCGCTGCAGCACATATAAGCATAGAGCAGGTATCTCTGTGATTTTGATTTTAAATCTAAATTTAAATTTTAAATATCAAAGCTAAATTGAGAACTTAACATTTTAAACCAATCAACGTGTGAATATTAATAAAGATTTTAAACATAACTGACAAAATGAACAAGGGGAGTTCTGGAATATCGGGTGCCAACTGATGACAGAGCAATGAACAATCGGGAATCTGGAGTTTAAATGTTAATATTGAGTGCAGTGTGACAGCTACATGAAGTGAAATGCACCTGATGATGGCCGATTGTGGCCGAAACATGTAGTGTAAAAGAACGGGGACAAGATCTACAATAAAGTGTTACATTTATATGGAATGTGGAATGTAACAGGATGCTTAAATATTATATAATACTATATATTGTTACATTGACATGAAGATGATCTTGCATGCTGAAGCATGTAATGGAAAAAATCGAGTTAATACAGTTATATTTTAGTGAAAGACATTAATGAATTTAAAAATGTAATTGTAAATAACTGGATTTTGGTATTATAACTGTAGAGTACTAATACAATATGGTTCTACACCCTCATGCACAAACGGAGGATGACTATGTGAGCAGTTTCTAACCTCTACCATCCTGCAGGTTATACCGCACTTTTCGAGATTCCAAGTATGTCTACATGCTTTTGGAGGCATGTCTTGGGGGAGAGGTGTGGACAATACTAAGGGACAGAGGGTGTTTTGATGATCACACAACCCGCTTTGTAACAGCATGTGTGATTGAAGCATTTGATTATCTTCATGCACGAGGCATCATCTACAGAGACCTGAAACCAGAAAACTTGCTTCTAGACACGCAGGGCTATGTCAAACTGGTGAGTTACATTACTCGAACTTCTACCAAACATGTTGTATGACAAGATCAGTAAAGTTCTCTGATAACAATGTAACTGCATAAACACTAACTGAAATGTCATTCTGTTTCACAAAACACAGAATAGGTACTATATGTCACTTTTAACAAGTAGTGTCAATTCTGTCTTTCCATCTAGTCTCCCATGTTATTACTAGAAGGGATATCTGTTAATGGAAGGTCCAGTAACAAACCTTATGAATGTGGTAATTAGTGGCGTGTCATGCATGAAAGCAAGGGAAGCATTGCTTCCATAAGTAAGAAATGAAAAGAAAAGAAGTCATATATAAATAATTCAATTTGAATAATAAGGATATGAATATTTTCATGTTCTGAACATTTAGTGCGTAGTCATGGTAAAGGCCACATGCTTTTTCCGCCTGCTCCCTTTCCCTGCTTGGTAGGATGGACCAAGTTTCCTTTCGTTAAACTTCGTATGAATTCGTCTCACCCGAAATGGGCAGGGAAGCAACTTTCGGTTTGCTGGCCAATGTCTGTGATATGGAAGCGAAGGAGTGTATTCTTTCGATGGTTATGTGAAAATTAACTGTTTATGTGTGATTTCAGTCTTGTTGGGTGTTATAGGTAGCATTAAGTTTTATTAAAATATTGTAAGTGCATATTTAGATGGTGTAAGATTGTATTTGTGATCGTATTTTGACGCATCAGAAAGAAGCTATCTGTGTTTAAGGGAAGCAAGTGTAATATTGTGGTACATCTGACAGGGGAGTGATAGATTACATGCACAGGGAACAGCTAAAATGAATGCGGGCAGACATGACTGCGACTGTGCAATCGAAAGCCTTTTAAAACGGGGGTTTAATAGCAGGTACTTTTCTGTAAAGAAAATAATTATAGAAAGAGGAGGACCGACATGCAAGTTGCCAGAACTTAAAGCACAAACCAAATTATGTGTGAGGAAATTTAATTTGGAACAGTATTCTGAAACAGAGTGGCTATCCGGTTGCCATAATATGGGAAAATTGTTTTGTTGGCATGCCTATTGTTTCTCAATGAAAAAAAAAGTATGGAACAAGACTAGGTTTGGTGATATCAACAACTTTCATAAAGCATTGAAACACGAGAACTCTCAGACTCACATTATTTCAACAATGCAACTTGTTATGTTTGGGAAATCTCGAATTGACTTATCAACTTGACAATCAAAGGTGCCTGATGATACTACAGCATAATGAAAATGTGAAAGAAAATAGAGAAATAATGAAACACTTGATTGATATCATCTGCCATTTTAGAAAGAGGCAACTTGCCCTCCATGGTCATGATGAAAGCGTGGATTCTATCGACCAGGTAATTATGTGGAATTAGTTCACTTATTGAGGAGATATGATCATAAACTCAATGTTCACCTAGAGAACAGTACAGTATTTACAAGTTTATTGAACAGAATACAAAACGACCTTATTGACTCAATAAGTGACGTAAATTTTGGTGAGTTGATTGCTATCAGTTCGTTTATTAGCTACCACTGCTTCCCTTAACAAAAACAGTACCACACGCCACTGGTGGTAATGAATCTTCAGGTCCCATAAAATGTGTGAAGTTTCTTAGGGTGACTGTCAGGTTTTCATGGATTCTACTCCATGAAATCAGTGAGGCTGTATACAGGTACATGAATTTCCTAAATATGAATTTTGACACAAAATTTGGGGGTCTCAAAGTGGTGGTTATGAAGAGTCCTGTCTTCTGGAACATAATGAAATGTAGTCCACTGAAAGTCAACTAACATTTCAAAGGAACATGTCCCCTACTACTTGAGAGTTGAAGCAGAGCTTTTTCTTGCTGCCTGCTTCATGCTAGCTTCTTGCTTGGCATACTGTTCAACCCTGGAGATGTTGGCTTACATGTTCCCCAAAATGTCAGTTGACTTTCAACAGACTACATGGCATTATATTCCTGAAGAGAGAACTCTTCATTGATTTTTGTGTTTTATCACTTATGGACTTCATTGCTTATGTGCTCATACTGGCAATAACTAAGACAAATTTTACTTTGTGTAGGTTGACTTTGGCTTTTCCAAAAGACTTGGCTTTAGCTCTAAAACATGGACATTCTGTGGAACACCCGAGTATGTTGCACCAGAGATCATCCTGAACAAGGGTCATGACAGGGCTGTGGATTACTGGTCTCTAGGAGTTCTCATGCATGAACTGTTGACCGGAACGTAAGTTCTGATTCATGGCTTTCCATTTGTGTCATGCAGGTTTATGAAATATTGATAGTACAGACTTTGTCATCATCACCATTGTCACCAAGGAAACATCCTTCCCAATTTTAGATATAGTTGGCCTAATAGAGATTAGAGGTTATGGTTCATGCTTCACTCTCATGATATGATAGCCTAGCAATTTTTGGGTTTTCTTGTATGCTGAGGTAAATATTGGTGTGAAAATTAACACTTTGCGGACCGCGCACCCTTTAAACGGTTTTTTGCTTTTAAATATGACGGACCGTTCGCGTTAACAGGCTTTTAGAACACGATAAGTTGCAGCACACTATACAGCGCTCTGGCGCCACCTACATTGCATGCAACCGCCTGCAGATGCGTGATAAGATTCTGGAATCTTTAGTTAGCAGTCAGTAACTTGACCTCACTGTTTACTTTGCCGACTATAAAGCCTTCTTCAAGCTGTGTGTATCAGCCAGTAGCTAGTGGGGAGAATGGATCAAGGACAAATTCTCCTCCGATGACCTAGCTGATCTGCCTTGTGAGACGCGTAGTAATGGATTGTCATTCAGACAGTGACAGTGACGGGGGACAACAAAGAATTGTGGCCACAGACAGTAAAAGTGACAGTAGCACCGACAATAATGCGGGTAATAACATTGCATGTAGTAACATTGCGGGGACAGCAAAATATCTAAAAAAAAATCTGAACCCTGATTCAAAATTGAAATACAAAGCATTTCTGATGAATGAGGCAAAGGCCTGGGCTACAGTCCAGATGGTGGCGGCAGAACCAGGGTCACACAAAGACTTAGTATGACTGGGCCCATCAACTTCCACCCCACGAAGGCCTCATGTGGACCCTCAGGGCGACTCTTGAGTGATATGCAGAAAAATACCCTCATGAAAATTGTGAAGAGTGAACATTCCAAGGGGAAGAATACTTCTAGTGTTTGCACAGTTCACAAAAAAAAGGAGTATGACTGTCTACATTGCACGTTCTGTGTAACGCCACTTCACAAAGGGGAATGTTTCCGGAAATATCACTCTCAAGCACTTCTAGGAGCATTGGTAAGTGTTCTCCAAAAATTTTAGTTCAAAAAATTAATTAGGAGATTTTATATTAATTTTTAAAGTGAACAGTGCACAAGTTAGGGTAGTATGTTTAAAAATGCCGGTCCCCAGGGTGATTTAAATATTTAAATCACCTGCCCACGAAGTGTTAAGTTTATGATGTGCACGACTCCACATTCAGATATATCCTTCATGAATGAAACTGCATCCTAGATAGTTCCATCTGAGGCAGCATTGTATCCACCAGTGTGAAATAGGGTAGCACTTTATCCCATTGGAATGGAGTAAGGCAGGTTTGTATCATGCAGAAGCTTGAGCTGGACACAGCAATATAGCTTTGAAATTGAAAAATGGGGAAACTGTATGTGATTGAAATAAGAGTGTGTCAGCATTGTATATGGTAGAAACTTGAGTAGGATAGGGTTCTATCTAGCATACATTGAAGTGTGGTAGGGTTATATTCAATGTAAATTTGATTTTGGAGGGCTGCATCCTATGGAAATTATACTATATGGGTCTGGCCAGTAGAAATTCAGGAAGCATGTTTGTATCCAATGAAAATTTTAGTAGCCTGAAGCTGTCTGCGTTTGAAACTGGACAATAGGAAATGGAGTATGATAGGGTTCTGTAACCGTCCTTTGATTCTGCTAGCTCTAGTAGAGAAATCGAACTCCTCTCAGGGCATGTTGACTGGCCACGATTTGGGTGATTAGTGGGGCTTTAGGTGTAGGGAAGTCACCTCAACACCAATTAACTGTTTGAAGTCTTTATTCAATCTGCACTATTTAAATGGAAACAGCACCGTAGTGACACATTCCACAGGTTTGTGGATGTAGGCTTCCTTACTGTTTACAGGGACGCACACGTAATAGTCACCACAGGGGGTGTTTACGAGGATCAGAACACGTGTACCCCCGGTGAATGTAACTTTCAGAGTCCTCTTTGCCAAGCACCCTCTGAATGGTAAATATCTGCCCTGGTTAACCAAAATTCGGGCAAAGGACCTCCCACTTCAGATGATGATTGGCTGGACCGGGCAGACTGGGAGGTTGCTCATCTTTTTCCTCCAATTAGGAAAGCGAATATCCACCAGTGTACAGTTTAGGGGTGAACTTTGCCACCTGCTGCGTGGCTGTCAAACTGAGATTTTGGGGTAGCAGGAAACGACGCTGCTAAATTTATGACTTCCCCTGTCAAGTTTAGAATTTCTAAAGAACTCAGCCTTGTTTTACGCATTAAATTGACTGATTTACGGATGGGCAGCTGGCTTCAATTGCTGCTTGTCTCGGGGAAAATTTCAAATTGTGAGGCGAAAGTGAGGAATTTCACAAAACCCTAACCATACACAAAACATCAATTGACCATCCCATAAACTGGACAGTTACAGTTCCATACAGTAGAAGTTATAGTATGATAGGTCTACATACAGTTCAAATTGAAGCATGATATGGTTTATGCAACAGAAATTGGAGCAGGCCAGTAGTGCACCTGGCAGACTTTGAAATAGGTTGGAACTGGAGTATTACTGGACTGTATTCAGTAAAAACTAATGGGTGACAGGGCTGTAGCCAGTGAAACTAGAATTTATGGTGCCATGTTCAGTAGAAATTTAAGGAGATTTATGTCACATCCTGTAAAAGAAGGGAGTATGATTGGGTTGTTCCCAGTGCAGATTAAGTAGAACTGCTTAGAAATATAAACAGATCTTGTAGCAGCCATTTTTATTGCATTTGATTATATTGAATTTCAGATTTTCACAGTGTCCAAATCTTCTGCTTCAAGTAATATTTCTTGTCACATTTTAGACCTCCATTTACTGCAACAGACCCCATGAAGACATATAACATAATTCTGAAGGGTATTGACATGGTGGACTTCCCCCGCCATATTACACGTGCTGCCCAGAGCCTCGTCAAACGGCTATGTCGTGATGCTCCTACTGAACGCCTTGGTTATCAGCGTGGTGGAATCCAAGACATTAAAAAACACAAGTAAGCCTGCACACTGCAACATTTGAGTGACTTATATCTCCAGAGAATACTCCCTGTGTCCCTATGTGAACTCCTTTTCTGTTCAGAACTCCTTCATGTCCTTATATATTTTGCAATATTAAACTTCTGTTTGAAAAGTGAGTAGAATTATATACCTGTGAATTGCCTTACAGGTGGTTTCAGGGTTTTGATTGGGATGGATTACGACAGAGAACTCTAGTGGGTCCAATAGTTCAACAAGTAAGTATCAGTTATGGATAGTTCCTGGGTTCATAACATGGAGGCCTACGTTAAATCACAGGACAGTCTCTGTCTGATTTCTGGTGATAAAGTAAAACTGGTGTAGGTTTTTCCTCCGAGTACCCACTTTTCTTCTGCCAATCATGATTCCACAGTGCTCCACATGCATCATTCCAATCTATGGAGCCAATCTGACAGTGATATTACTGAAGAATCAGTCTAGTATTTTTAGCACAGTGACCCCTGTATCTCACAAATATCTACGTAACAGTCCTTCATATGACTGAGAAAACTGTGGATCCTCTATGTTATGGCACCATGTACTTATTTACATAACTATAACCTCTACATTAGGAGCTCCTAAGTCTAGAAGATTTTTTTTTTCTTGGCAATACAGCCCCAGTGGGCCTAGGCCTAACTCCATGAACTCCGTTCACTTCGGTTTTTCTAGATCTTACACATACAGTAGGACTCCTTGGGCGAGTGTTCAGCTCATCGCAAGGCCTCTACCTGCAGACAAAGAAAAACGCACACAAACATCCATGCCCTGAGTGGGATTCGAACCCATGATCCCGGCTTCCGAGCGAGCAAAGACAGTGTACGCCTTAGACCACTCGGCTACCGTGACCGGCCTAGAAGATTTAGTTCTCCTGAATTCTTTACACTGAGGTTCTGCTGTTCATACCTTCTCAAATTATCTCCATTACTGGCTAAGCTATGTAATGACCCACATCATGGGACCAGGAGCAGTGCAGATCTTGGCAGTACCTAGACACATAGGCAGGGAAATAATCTATTTTGTGGTAAATGAGTGCAGCTGATTCCAGGACAATTGTTTTTGGAAATGTTACTTTTCAGTACCTTGTAGTGAAAGTATACCCTCATTACATACCCGACATTAATGGGAAAGAGGAATTTTGAGACCAAAGTGGTTCAAGTAAAAATACCCCCTTCATAATTTCTAGACACAGTTGCTCCTTATAAATGCCATGCTATTTTCCTGTAACACTTAAATAAAAGATATTTGGTGGAAGTGACTCACCTCACTGAAGCACCAGACTGTATCATTCACTCTAATGTGACTGCACTGTAATTTTATTTATAAGACCTTACATTAAACCTTGGTATTGTGGCATAACTGAATCATGGCACAGCATTCCATTAAATTTTATATGTGGAAATGGTCACAGCTAGTAGCATGAATCACCATTCTTCAATCTCAGACATCATTAAATTCTTCACAAATTACATAGTCCAATACTGATGCCTGCTTTAGAATATGCATTTCACTGTTTCAGCCATAGGTAAATTTCCATTATTTTCTTATTATGTATGATGGGGTACCCAAAAGAAACCGAACTAATTTTTTTGTGGGCAGAGCTTTTGTAGTACCGCGTTTTGCCGCTATGAGCGCATAGAGCTAACATTCCTGAGTCGATAAGCCGACTACCGTTGCTTCAGAAGGTAAGGACTAGTTTCGGCAGAGTTTATAGTGACAACTGTTTTGTGTGATCGTCGTTTTTGCAATGGCTGATTTTCGTGAACAGCGTGCGACAGTGAAATTCTGCTTTTTGCTCAGGAAAAGTGGAACAGAAACTCTTGAAATGTTAAAAACGGCATACAAGGACGATGCTATGGGGAAAACTCAAGTGTTTGAGTGGTTTTCCCATTTCAAAAATGGTTAAATGTCAAGTGATGACAAACCTCGCTCTGGTCGTCCTTCCACGGCCCGAACATATGAAAATGTTGAAGAAATTGTGGAGCTGTCAGGAGTGACTTGGAGCTCAGTTCAGCGAATTTTGACAGAAGATTTGGGAATGAAAAGGGTGGCTGCGAAATTCGTGCCACGACTGCTGACTGCTGAACAAAAACAACGTCGCGTGGAAGCATGCTGTGCTTTGAAAGAAGAGTCCTGAAATGATCAAAACTTTTTTTTTGTTTCCTCGAATGAAAAGAGACATGAAAGGAAAGCGTTTTGCTTATGTTGCTGAGGTGAAGGAAAAAACGATGGAGGCGCTGTCAAGCATCTCAAAAGATGAATTTAGACAATGTTTTGAAAAAATGGAATAAAAGACTAGACAAGTGTATTAGTGTAAGTGGAGAGTACGTTGAAGGGGACTGAAGGTTTGTGCTTAAAATTTGAATAAATAAGTTAAAAAAAAATAAGTTCGGTTTCTTTTGGGTACCCCCTCATATATACTGTACATAAATATGGCTGATCTATCTTTCCAGTTGGTGGCACAAACATTTCTCATAGACATAACAGTGCCTTAGTTTATGGTATGTGAGAGATAAACGTTTTATAATGTGGCACCTATGGGTAATAAGGGCCAGCCAGAAATAAAACCCATTGTCATTTTGGCATTTGTCCATTTTACTATATGGATGCAGAACCTCTCAATCACCTCTTTCAGTTGCTTTCTGGTGAGCCCTACAAGAATTGCACATTCCATAAGTGGTGAGATGAAGGCACCAAGAAGCAGTTTTCTTCACTTTTGGTTCGTTTTTAGAATTCATTAAGGGTACCTAGAGATTTCTATATTTTTATTCTGTATTCTGAAAGCCATGATCATAACATTGCATTGCATTGCATTGCATTCCATGGATCCAAATAGTCAAAATGACTATAGGATGTGGAATATGTCATATAAATACAAAACATGTACAGTCCAAATGGAGTTTTCACACAAGAGAAACCAAGAATATACAGTGACTACACACAAGGCTATTTAAAGATACATAAGTTATTCTCTAGACAATAGGTATTCATCAATAGAGTAGAATGAGTGTGTATTTAAGTATTGTTTCAGTGCTATTTTAAATCATACATAAAGTAATTTCATTTTTAAATAATAAAAATAAAAACAAGTCTCATTTGTTATGCATTCTTATTACCTTAAACATAGCAGTGATATCAGACAGAAAATAAGGCCCATTAAACAATACCCTGTTTCTGCCATCATGATAACATTGAAAGTGAAAATGATGAACACGGTCACAAAAAGAATATGAACTAAGAAGCACAGGCACTAAAGCATAAGGCATTTTAAATGCAATAAAAAGCAGGGGACCATGACACAACTGAATGATTAGCTGTCAACTTCAGGTCAACTCCTCTAGTAGACAAGAGCTCTGGATGTGTGCAGTATGTTTTGAAGATTTTTTCTCAGATACTCATGTCTGTGTCTCCTGCCAATCTCGGGTGCATGAAGAATGTTTTGGCCTTGTTCGAAGCTGCACTGAAGATTTTGCGTATAGATTGTGACCCAGATTAAGCTACTGTCTTATGGGCCTTATTATATGCTGCTTCAATTATTAAGCTCCATTTGCATTTCTTCATGCATATTGATAATGTTTTATATAATTCTGACAGAGCATATATTTTAAGCACATTACTTTTTGTAGTTATGCACAATTCATCCTTAGACTGGCCATATTACATACAGGCACTTTCTAATTTTCTCAACATTCGTGTAACTTAATTTAAACTGTATAATAGGCATACTATTATAGGTTGTTAAAGTCCTGATCTCCCAGATGAGTGGAGAATTCTGTGGTAAGTGTTGGTTTGGATTTCAGATTCATGGTCCAACAGACACTTCTAACTTCGATTTCTATCCAAAAGACCATGACATACCTCCTGATGAATTCTCCAACTGGGACATGGATTTCTGAGATTGCAGCACCATTGGAGTGACCAGTAACAGTGCTCTGGCAACTATATGGTTCAGATGACTGATAGGCAGGGCAGGATCTGTATTGTCTGCATTCTGTTGTGTGTTACAGTGTGGTTTTCTTGGCCATCAACACAACAATTTTTTTCAAACAAAACCAGTCCAGTATCACTGTACTGACATTGGTATTATTTAAGCATCTACTACATGTTTCAATCCATGTTTGGATCATCATCAGGCAGTTTCATAAGTACATTGTTTGTTACTGAATTGTCCTAATATAGGTCCATATTAGTATTGATTTCTCTATCTTGTCATAACATATGTTGGCATTCTGATATTACAGTTAATCTTAGGGCTAAAATTATTTAAATTATTACTTGTGTCTCATCGATACAATGGTTTCCGTGATGCTGGTATATTAGAGGGTGATAATGTCTTAGCTATGTTCTGTTTGAAGTGTGTGTTTATATGCTTCCTACTGTTGAACGTTATTCCTGTTTTGCGGTTCTGTGTGAACATAACATATTGTCATGTATTTGGAGTTTGCATGACAAATAATAATAGGTTCTGGATTTGATGAATGGATTTATTGGAACTTCGATTAAAATTACATTCAGTTATATCAGCTCGCAATCAATCTTGACTGCAGAGACGTCTCTTCCTTCTTCTTCATGTTCTATGACTGACTGTAGACAACCTTCATTGTCCCCTACAGAACATCAGCATGGAACATGCACAGAAAAGACATTGAGAACACAGTACCATAGCAATTCCTCTATTGTTATAGAGGTGTATTTATGTTGCTGTTGCATAGAAACAGCAATTCTTCTATTGTTGCCATGAAAATGTCTTTAGTGACCCATTGCCTAGCAATGGATTATACGTTACAGTATAAAAAAACATTAACAACGAATCCCAGAGGACATTATCACCCTCTACTATACAACAAGCATTAACGGAAATCAACATCGTATCAACAAGACACAAGTACTAATTTAAATAATTTTAGCCCTAAGGTTAACTGTAATATCAAAATACCAACACATATTATGACTAGATATATAAATCAATGGATTTTAAAAATAATACTAATATGCACCCATATTAGGACAATTCAGTAACAAGCGATGTACGAAGGGGGACCCAAAAATAACCGGAAACGACCTGTTGCGCGCGCATGCTTTGTAGTTACGAGTTGTGCTGCTAGGTGGTATTAGCTGGGGGTCTCCCGCGACTGTTAGTGAGCTGGCGTCAGTCTGAGTTAAGTGGTTTCTCTGTGGTGCTCTGTTGTGTGTGTTCCTGTTTCAACAATTTGGCGATTAGTGAGATGGCCGACCAGAAGGAACAAAGAGTGTGCGTGAAATTTTGCTTTCTGTTAGGGAAAACTGCACTTCACTCTTCAAGTCGCGGCAAACATTCACGCGGTTTTCTCTTTGGTCATCTCCGAGCAAGCGAGGAACAAATTTTGCAGACACCCGTCTCATGTGCAAACCTTCGGTTAAAATTCGCTGGACCGTGCTCCATGAGATGTTCGTTTCCTCAGAAAGTTGGTCAATGGTCTTTCGACGATCTTCATCAATTTCACGCACACTCTTTGTTCCTTCTGTTCGGCCATCTCACTAATCGCCAAAGGGTTGAAACAGGAACGCACACAACAGAGCACCACAGACAAACCACTTAACTCAGACTGATGCCAACTCACTTACAGTCATGGGAGACCCCCAGCTAACACCACCTAGCAGCACAACTCGTAACTACAAAGCAGCGCGCGCAACAGGTCGTTTCCGGTTATTTTTGGGTCCCCCCTCGTATTTAAGAAACTGCCTGACGATGATCCAGACATGGATCAAAACATATAGCAAGCACTAAAATAAAATCTGTTAGCACAATGATATTGGATTGGTTTTATTTGAAAGAATGTGTTGTGTTGATGGCCAAAAGAAACACACAGCAGTCAGGAGTAGCAGCAAAAGGAAGTCAATATTATTCTGCATTTAATGGATATCAACTTTGTTAATACAGAACGTGTTACATTTCTGTCTTCAAAGATGTTGGCAGAAATAGTACTTCACACTGTATGAAGTAGGATAGAGCCACTACTGCAAACTGCAATGTTTAATGGGTCTCTGATATGTGATTTAAGTTCTGTTGCATACAAGTATGATTTTCATGTTCATATGTTCATTAGAATGGTCTGAATGATTTCCTGTTTATATTTCATAAACCTGCTTTGTATAGATGTGCAACTTGGTCTCATTCTGAAGGAAAAGCAGAGACTTGGGTCATGTTCAAGGCTATCTGATGATGGTGTGACATATTATTTCAAACCATTATTTTCGACTTTGTTCATTATCTGAGTTTATTGAAACCACAATATTCTGAAAAGTTGTTTCATTTCCTTCTTTTGATGAATAGGATATGAAAAAGAACTCCTCTGTTGGGCCCCTCATTTGAGAATAGCTCTACTCAGCTACTCTTAGCTGTGTTGGATGGATGGTAACAGAGAACTTCATATTCTTGCTAAGACATCACTGATCCCAGAATCCGCCATGCTGATATACTCGTATAATTTACAGGATTGAGTATCAGTATTGTTTTTTAACTATTATCGGAGTAAACCAAAAAGAACAGTAACAGATAATCCAGGTTATGCTGCAGCTTCTTGTTTTGTGCCATGTTTCCAAATTAGCCGTGGTTTTGTGATATGGCAGATACAAACAAGTCTCTCTGTACATAAATAAAAACAGAAGACTGTGATTTGAATCACAGACTGTTATGGAACAGTCATTTAAAGCAGTGATTAAATCTTTAAGCAATATCCATCATCCTAACTTCGAGGACACACTATTCAGAGGTAAATGTCATCATTAAATAAAGAAGCATTTAAGAGATGCAGTACCATCAAAATAGATCAGTGGTTCTCAGAGTACAGTCTGTGGAACATTGATAGTCATACTCAAGTGGTACTGAAATTCTGTAACCTCAACAAAATGAACACCCACTTTTATCTAATTTATCATCCCCCCAACTCTTGAGCAGTAAACTAAACAGCAGGTCAAGTGTCAAAAGTACTCTGTAGCCAGATCCACGAAATTAGAAGGACTGGGTGAGAAATTGTATCTTGGCATTAGAAAGAAACAGCAAACTGCATATTGTGTGCTTTTGGATAATAGCAGCATGCAGCCTGGTGCGCAGGTACAAGCATTTTGGGGCAACATACTGCCCATGGAAATGGATGCAGTATGTCCCTTTGAAACATTGGTACTCAAATACAACACTACAAATTATCATAATCTTCACTGCCATGTACCTCAAATTTTGTACTGTAAATTGCAGTTTACAAATACAGTTGAGGGACTAACCACAGAATCTGAATACTAGCTATACATGGATCTGATATTCTGTAACCACAACATCTCATCAGTCTGTAAAATGTAGGTAATTTGGGTCTTCCCAGGATAATTTCAATTTTCAGACAAGTCTGTGTTCTGGAAATGTTAGTCAAGACATCAGTTATTGCAGCTCTTTACAGTCATGTAAATTAGTGAAACTGTATTTTTCTGAAATAGTTATATACATTTGGGTCTGAAGGAGCCATCTTGTCTGTTACCTCTTGATCTGTCATACGTTTTCTTTTCTGATAAGAAATGTTTACTGTCATAAATTACTGAGAAATCAACTTCTTTTTTAAATCTCTGGTATCTAATTCTTCAGAATTCCAAATTTACCATGCCTTTAGACAACTGTTTTAATATCTGTTTGAAATTAGCAGACCAAATAAACTGAGAAACAGCACAAAGAGTAAGGGTATAAAAAATAACCACTCTTTATTCTGAAATTAAATGAAACATGTGTACACTTTGAGAGCAATATGTTGAGTTATTGAACAACCAAGTATAAGGTACCCATATTGACAAGGTAAACTTTTGTATCCTGTCTTAAATGGCACACTGCATGTGGTGGTACATAAATTATCACAGCCTTAATACAGTCTGCAAAAAGGCCAATAAGTCAGGTTTTGTAGTAGCTGCTTGTCCTTTCATTATGCACAAGAATCTCACACATTATCATGTTAAACAAATAATAAATTTACATGTATACATTTCTCTGTTATGGTACCAGCCATATTTCTTGAAAAGACATCAGTAAATTTAAAATATGTTATGACTTGTGTGACATCACCAGTAGTGGTCTGGAAGTGTTTTAAAATTTAACTTGGAGAAAAGTCCTATACCCCATGACTTCATTCACACCATTAACAAAACTCCAAGAACACAGCAGGTCATGTTCTAAGGGAATATGTTTTATTTAAGGGACTACAGATTTCCTAAAAACCACATCAGACTCATGCAACAGAGCAGCTAAATTACAGTAAAGCATGATGAAAGATTTTTCATCTTTTTTCTCATGGGATATTATTTAAAATCCAAACCCACAGGTTAAAGAATCATATTATGTTGGACTTGCAACATCTCTGTAGCATGAACTTGGAAGAAATTTAGATTGGCCAGAATCTGAAGCTTTTCCTCTTACAGTTGACAACAGGGGTATAACCCGGTGGGACAACACCTTGAGCCAAAATATTGAGACAGGTTCCTAGAAGTTTTAATTTCCACCAAAGCACATTCTTATGCTCTGTAATGCTACATAATCATTCAGATTACTGAGGCATAGCCATCTGAAGCATTAAGATGTTAAAAAGTACTATGGTAGGAGGATCCCATTGGTAACTTGTATATAAGGCAGGACACTTCAGAAAAGGTGGCAAAAATCTTTCTCTATTAAGAAATAAGTTAACATCACAAACCAATCATAAATACTGCTTCATGAGCAAGCCTATCGGAATGCTACTGACATAAATATACCGTCCAAAACTATCCATGTTTATAAAAGAGTGTTTGTGGTGCATCTTCCCTAGCACTGGGAAAGTTGACAACAATATCAGAATTAACTTCTATCAAAACACCACATATTGCCTGTTATTTAATAGAATCTTGTAGGCATATTACAATACCTGAAAGATGGAAAATATTTTATGTAGTAAACTTTGCATGTTTTGTGAGAATATATTTCTTGAACTATATTGTAAAGTGTTTTTAATCAGTATGTTTATGGAAAATGGACAGAGTAGTAAATGACTTACAAATGACAGTATAATGTCACAGGTTTTCAATAATGTTGTGATTATATAAAGATATACACATTTACAATATACAACTGGTCATAAATTGTAAAAAAAAAATCACTTTTAATGATATTATGGAAAGCAAGAACTTACTCTGTTGAAATGATGTAAAATAAAACTACTTATTAGTGCTCCTTGCCATGCCAATGACAGTGTGGGTAGCATTGTCTGAATCAGTGATATGGTGAAATTTACTTTTATGATAAAGTTATTAAAATTTTAGAAACACCAGACTGAATTCTTAGAGTGGACATACATATTTACATACACAAGTCTTGTTAATGGAAAGTTTAAAATAAAATTCCATTCACCCAACAGTGTAACAGATAAAGAGATACTATGTTTTTATTCATATGTATTTAAATACACTGTTGTTCTGTTACTTTGTGTATTTTAATTTCAAAGGGTGTTCCCATGTTCTTTATTTTCCACATCCTCAATGTTGACTATCTTCCCCTCTTTTCAAATACCACGTTATGGTGCTACGATAGTGTTGTCTTTCTTACTTCACTGGGGCACAAAGTTTTAGATTATGTTCATTGATCTGGTCCTAATAAATTTTGTTTATTTAGGACGTTTTCACCAATTTAGTATTTCAGTTAAATTATTTTTGCATATGTGAAAAAGTTAAACCATAAATCCCCACTCTTCAAGCAGTCACTATTCATTCCAACAATCTCACTTTCATTACACATCAGAACCTGAAAAAACTTGCAATGCTTTCTGTACGTAGACCTCAAACCACAACCCTGGGTGAAGATCACCATCCTCTGAAATGTTACAGTATGTAGCAAAATCTGCAGTAAGTTTCATGTTAAACTAGAAACCTCTGGACAGAAACCCTAATTTTTTTGTACATTCAGGTTCCAAATTTGCAGTTTCCCAACCACTTATAATTTCTGATATAAATGTGGCAATTAGGCAGGTCTGTCCTTCAATTCCAGAGGAGGAATTATGTCCCACGACAAGCCCGCCAGGATACTGATAAACGTTTCCAGAATGATTTCAGCCCAAATCAAATTGACCATCTAATTGGGAATTTCTTGGCAACCATATCAAAATGTGTACAGGCCTACTGGTATTATGTAGGAAGTATAAGGACCCAGTCCCAGAAGTAGCGGAAGCGACATATTCCAAATTAAAAGTGACTGCAAAAGTGAGGCAATGCTGTACTTTCTTTACATTTGAAGTGAACTGATGTGTCCATTGTGAATTACAAGCCTAAAGAACTAAATATTTCATCTCATGACGGCAAAGCTACCGGAAATACTTAATTTGGGTGGATGCAATACAATTCATCAGATTGTGCCTATGGCATTGACATCAGCAAGCACATGATAACAACCTGAAATAAAATTACTATATCAGACTAGTCTTCACATGAGATGCTGTCAGGAGTGCTGTTGCTTTGTACGTCATTTATTCGGTAAGACTGAATAATGCTCAAGCATCAGTCACTGGCTTTTCACCATGGAGGTTCTTAAGGGATTTGTCCTGGACAGAATGGCACTGGGGCAAGTAAATATTCCAGTACAGTAAACCCTCCCTAATTTTGATCAGTTTGGGAGAAGTCATTTGGATTAAGTGATAATCTGGATTAATTAAGCAAAATATAGACCTGAAAACAAAAACAAAAATAAATGGAAAATTTAAATAACATAGTGTTAATGAAAAAAAAAAATCTGTGTAGAAACTTCTTCCTCTCTCAGAAGTTGAAATCAAGATTCTCTTTCTTCCTCTCTCAGAAGTTGAAATCAAGAGTCCCTTTCATCCAGCAAAAGCCAGTCTTGGATATTTTCCTACGTGGTTTCAAGTCTGCCCACCTGCTCTCAACACAGGTTGAAAGTCCTCTTGCTCCTAAATCCCATGTGTCTTTTAAAGTATGTACTCAACAGGTGCTGGGATAGAGCTGTCGGTATAGCAACTGGATACTGGCTGGGCAACTGAGGGGTCAGAGTTCGAGTCCCGGCAGGGTCAAGAATTTTCATTTCTTCATGTCGTCCAGACCGGCTCTAAGGTCCACCCAGCCTCCTATCCAATGGGTCCCAGGGCGTGAAGATGACCACTCACCTCCAACTAGTGCCGAGGTCAAGAAAACGTGGGTCTATACATCCACTTCCCCATACGCCTTCATGCCGTAGTGTTTAATTAGTAGGGCCAAAAAGCGGGAAAATATGCACCAGAAATAAAACAATATGCACTTAAGAAACCGGTCACTTCATTCAGACTCACCTATTTAGATGTATCATTCACTGCAGAAAGTAGCATCACAATAGGCAACTAGAAGTCTTTCAGTGTTTTCTTGAGTCAAACTGCGTCTGTTGTCCGTCAAAATGAGTTTATAGGCTGAGAATGATCTTTCTACATCAACTGACGTGATTGGACAGTATTTATACACAGGCGCCGAAGGTTCGGAACATTCATCTGGCAAAGATACCCTAATTCCACTCAAGTACTGACTGACTCTTTTAGTCCTGGATTCTAATTCAACACCTTTTCTAATTTGCATTTAATCTTCTCTCAAATTTCGCCTGGAGCGGAATTCAGTGAAAAAGTTGCTTTCTGAACGAGTTCAAGTGAGTCGTGAACGGTCGTCAACGTCGTGAAGGCGTGCACCACAAGATTCTAAGCTCTCAACGGCTTTTGAAACTGCAGAAAATGTGCATGAATAAAATTCACATCTTGATAAACACTTCACTTCCAAACACCACTTTTGCTTCATGGACACATGCATACTCATCTTCAAGTTTTGTAACCACTTCTTTTACTTGATTGAAATTCTGATAAACTGAAACTGCGGATATCCATGTCACCCACCCCGTTACGACAGGTTCAGTTGGCAGAGGAACCTGAGCGAACCTGAAGTAGGCAATCTCTGTAGGCTCTGTAGAACTGGACACAAGCCGGTGCTTTCAGAAACAGTTTTTTTCCCACTTGCAATTAAATCGTTAACAGCTGGAAACTGTGCGCGTATTTTTCTGCAATACGGTGTAATCCGTGCGCTAAACAGGTTACATGTATAAGATTTGGATAAAATACTTAAAGGCCCCTGCTGCTTTCAACATATAGAAAGCTGCATCTGTGAGTAACACCAGCACCTTACAATTATTCTCAATTTCAGATGGCCATAGTAGTCACAAAGAATCATTTACATATCTTATTACTGTGCTATGGTTGGTTTTCTCTAGTACTTTGAGGTTGGCCGGGTTCGTCTGGATGTAGCTTAACAACTACGAAATTTGCTATGCATCGACCACATAAATCGGTTGTCTCATCCTTAATTATCCTTAATTTCAAACATACTATATATGCAGAAATATGCTCTTACGTTTATATGCAATAATGACCAAAAACCCTCAAAATATGCATTTGCATATGCGCATATGCATTTTCAAAAAATGCAGGGACAACTTTACCTTTTTTGTACTCAACTGTGAAGATATTTTTTTCATTTTTCATATTTCGACCCAAATTATCAGACATCCGGATTAGTTGTAACCGCATTAGCGAAGGTTTACTGTGCTTCGGTTAATCCCTGCCAATTATCCTTCCACCACCGTCAGTTCTCATTTGTTAGCCGACACGGGTGCAACAGCCCAATTTGAGGTAGCAATACCAAGGGATGCATCCTTATATTGAAACAATTGCAGAGGAATTACAATTTATTTTAGGACTTATTTTTTACGAATGGTTAATTTCTCTAACGAAGGGAGGTCTTCCGTTTACCGTATCATGGAACAGAACTCGCTCAGCGAGTAATTTTCTGCAACTTTCAGTGACTTCCAAAATGTGGATAGCAAGGCTGTTTAGCGTGAGTCGCAAAATTAAAGCAAATTTTCGTAATACGCGTTCTGGAAATATGCAAAACCGGTTTATTTATTGGACTGATAATTTCCCTCGTATTCCCTTTTATAAAATACAACAAAGAAACATTTAAACCATGACATTCGTTGAATTACAAAGTGGAAAGCAGGTAGGTGACCGTAAGCAAAGAGCGTCTTAAGCGGCTAATGAAAAACGTTGCAAAGCGAACCCGTTAATAAATTGGGGTGACATTGCTGCGTTCACCAGTACGTTTAAGGTTAACCTTGATTTCGATGGACTGTAGTCGCATCCGTGATCGTGGAGCAGAACAATAATTATCTGTAATGATGTAGTTGTCCTGAGGTGATCACCTCGCCTCTCAACTATGTAACGTGACGAAATTGGCGTGCACAGCATTCTTGTACCCGTTGACGTGCTGATAGTCACAAAATCAAATATTAACAATTACTAATAAACTCTTACTCGAGCTGCTATGGTAAGAAGCTGAATATTTGCTTCAACTTAAATACGAGTATTTTTAGCAAATCCTGCATGACACTTCAAATATGCTTCCAATATACGTGATCAGCTGCGATCAGCTGTCTCATCTCGTAACGATGACGTCAAAGGTGGTGGGACTCATGTGCTCATGTGTTTGCGAAACGTATATAAGTGTCGTGAAAGGACGTGAGCGGACGTGAATGTTGAGATGTGTTGAGTGTGATAAGACGCCGCCGAAGGTGGGTTACTTGAATAAGACTAAGAAAGTAAGATTTTTAGGGGGGGCGTTTGCTTGCAGTTAGCAGTTGCGGTATTACTAATATCGCATGTGTGACGTCACAGTATACCTAGAATTCCTGAACCTAAGTTGCGTCATTTATTACGCAGGGTTGGGCGTCCGCGGATTCGACTGGATTCGGCAGGGGTGGCGTTATTGTAGTACAGATCTGTCGTTTCGAATTCAACACGAATTTATCTTCCATCGCACTTTTGTGTGCTGCTTATGTGAGACGTGAGTTTGTTGTCCATTTTATATGTTACGTATTTGGGTTATTAAAGTGTCGTGTGTTTCTCAAGTATAAATTACGTAACCATTGTAACCTTGCCCACCATAACGCTGAATGTGTGAATATTTTTTTATTTTCAAACGACAGATCAAAATACAGCCAAATTTCTGTAAGAGTTTCAGAACGAGATTATGTTATGCATGGTATTCACTTTCTGAACGATATTTGAGTTCGATTGTGATAGTAACTGAACAAATCAGTTCTTAAAATTATTTTATATGACATTATTTATACAAGAAATTAATACTGAACATTGAAGAGCTTTAGATTTCTTGGTTAACAGTAGGATGTTTATGTGATTACTTTTAAGAACAACTTAGTTAGTTATTTATAAATTATCCCATTTGATAAGCAAACTGAGCATTTGTTTGAAGGTACAAAAACAACACACAAATCCATAGCTAACCCTTACTGTTGGTTAGAATGTTTTGAGAGGGAGCATGTAGGTAAAATTCAAAATAAGGTGTGCCTAGGCCGTCTAGGCGCGACGCCAAGGTAGCTTATAGAGAACACGAGTTCCCTACATTCCAACCTTGACATCAGTTGAAGGTGAGTGGTTATCATGTTGCTGCCATTTATTTATTTTTTATTATTATCATTCATCCATTCAGGTACATAACCATTGGATATAGAAATTGTCAGTAGATTACATTGTTATATTATATAAGATTGTCTTAACATAAAATAAATAACAATTACAATATATGTAAGAAACTAATGAATGCAGACTAAAATACAAAGCTATAATTACTGGGATACCCCAAAACCAAATTTATTATTCCTATCAAGATACTCTTGAACAGAATAAAGAGTCTTTTATAAGAAACTTTCTCAATTTATGTTTAAATTTATTAATGTAATGTGCAGCTTGCTTGGTATTGAGGGGTAGAGAGAGGTAAATAATGTAATACCGGAATAATATATTCCTTTTTGGACTTTAGTTAGACTTACTAAAGGAATATGAAAGTTCAATTTTTGGTGAGTATTTATTTTATTTTTTGTACTGCTAATGATAAAGCCCTTGCTATCCTTTGGATATGAGGCTGAATTTGTCCCAGAGCCAGTGTGGGCATGGTGACAAGAAAATCCATATATCAGTTGAGAATAGAATTCCAGTGAAGTCCATAGTCGGTTACTTTTCTGTTTGTGCTGTTTCATATCAGTGACATACTGGTAACGATAAAAAATTAAGCCTGTTCTTAAAAGTTTTATTGTACTCTTGCTTCTGTATGGGAGATTTTTTTTTTTTAATCTGTAGCTGGCTGTTTTAAATTTGAGGAAGAAACTAGTGAGCATAGCTCTGTATGGGGCTGAAACATGGACACTTAGAGCAGTAGATCAGAAACATCTGGAAAGTTTCGAAATGTGGTGTTGGAGAAGGATGGAGAAGATCAGTTGGACCGATTATGTGAGAAATGAAGAAGTGCTAATTAGAGTCAGTGAGCAGAGGAATATCCTACATGAAATAAGAAAACGGAAGGCTAATTGGATTGGTCATGTTTTATGCAGAAACTGCCTTCTAAAAGAAGTTATTGAAGGAAAGATAGAGGGGCAGATAGAAGTGACAAGAAGACAAGGAAGAAGATGCTGGATAACCTTGGGGACAGAAGAGGATACTGTCATGTGAAGGAGAAAGCTCTAGATCGCATTAAGTGGAGGAATTGTTTTGGAAGAGACTGTGTACCTGTCGTCTGACAGATGACTGATGATGATGATGATGATGAGCTGGCTGTTGTGACTGATGTGAAGATTTTAATACATAAGACATGAAGTTTGGGTTTCCAGTGACTTCTGAAAAGTAAACATGGAACTGTGACCATTTTAATGTTATTTATGTATGGGGGTGAGAAAATACAAGTATGTTGAGAAGGCTGACAATATGAGACAAGTCTGATATTTGGCCTTGTTTGTGACTAAAGAATCTGATCATATCGTAGCACATTATTGTCCACACAAGATTGACACCACGTCTGAAGTGTGATTGAATATTGTGAGATTTGTGGTACACAAACCGGGATCTATGTATACTACAAAGTTAATAGAAAGTCCGTCGAGTGTAACAATTTGTAGGTCACTTTTTATTATTATTTCTGCCTTACATGTTTCGGTTTGACACAACCATCATCAGAGGCACTTGCTACAATTATGGGAACACTGTCGCTGTTTTTTGATGTTCACAATTATGTTTGTCGTGTGGATGCTGCTACGATATGTTGACGTGTAAAAGCACAAAACATGCTAAGATAGTTGAGTACACTCTCAAGTTCTCACTTTTCATCCTAACCTATTTTTTAAGTTAAAACGCTAAAATGTTAAAATATTTGATATAAATGCTGAACTCCTCCTTGTTAATTCATCCCGAAGATGGGAGACGTTAGCTTGAGGTTGTATGGCTTATGGTTTGATGTGTTCCTGTGTGCTGTGTACTGCCCTCCACTGGTCCCTATCCTGATTCAGATCAATCCAATCAATACCATCCCATCCTATCTCTCTAAGATCCATTTTAATATTGTCCACCGACCTATGCCTTGTTCTTCCCAGTGGTCTTCTTCCTTCTGGCTTTCCCACCAATATTCTTTACACATTCCTTGTCTCTCCCGTTTGTGCTACATGCCCTGCCCACCTCATCCTCCTTGACTTGCTCATTCTAATTATACTAGGAGAAGAGTACAAGTTGTGAAGCTCCTCATTATGCAGTTTTCTCAAACACCCTCAGCCTGTGTTCCTCCCTTAATGTCAGAGACCAAGTTTCACACCCATATAGTTTTGTATATTCTAATTTTTATATATTTTGGACAGCAGATGAGAATACAAAAGGTTCTGGACTGAATGGTAGCAAGCATTACCTGAGTTCAGTCTCCTCTTAATTTCCTCCTGAATCAGGTTTTGATCTGTTATCATTGTTCCCAAATATCTGAACTGTGCCACATTTTCAAAACATCTGTTTCCTATCGTTATATCATGATTTTGCCCTGCATTTTGGTGATGAGACAGTAACATATACTTAGTTTTCTCTGTGTTTACTTCTAGACCAACCTTGTTACTTGCGGTAATTAAAGTTTGTGTGTCTTTCTTTATGGTATCTACATTATCACCCAGTAGATTCACATCATCGGCATAGGCCAACAGCTGATGTGTCCCGTTTAATTTCAGTCCCACCTGATTTCCCTGGACCTTCTTAATGGCATATTCTAAAGCGAAGTTGAAAAGGAGTGGCGATAAAGCATCTCCTTATTTTAGACCATTCTGGATAGGAAATTCATCAGACAAATGTTTACCTACACGGACTTTACTATACATTTCATTTAATCACATTTTAATCAACCTTGGGGACGGAAGAGGATATTTTTATTTGATGGAGAAATCTTGTAATCGCATTAAGTGGAGGAACTGTTTTGGAAGAGACTGTGTACCTGTCATCTGACAGATTACTGATGAATGAATAAATCTGATAAATGCAAAAGATCTGATCTGTAGTTGATCTGTTACATCGAAACCCACACTGATGATCCCCAATAATTTCATCTATATATGGACTTAACCTT